AGAATTGCAACCAGAAATTCTACTGCCCTTACTTGGACCCTGCAGCCTCTCCGAGACATTAATTTCATTCTTATGTTTTCATTAATACCCACCTCACCTAGAACATATATATATATATATATATATATCACTTTATAATGATTTTATTGTGTATCTCTGGGAGTTTGCATCACCTTCCGATGTGGACTTGACCACATATAAACATATTCTTTGCACACTCTCCGTCGCTATCTGATGGAATATACAGAAAGATAAAAGAATGTAAAGCTAACTCGGTCACATAGTTTAACAAAAAATATTTTACTAAAACTTTAACATTAACCAAAATATTAGCCTAGAATTCCAAGTTTATCATCAAGCATATCACAATGAGATGATCTATATATGCGTGACATTTCCACCGCCGCCCGCTGGACGGGCGCAGTGTGCATTTTATGTGAATTATAATTATTTGTAACTACTTCATTACAAATTAAATCAAATAAAAAACAATCTTTTTAATTATTTGCACATTTATAAATGAGAGAATTTACATTAAAAATTGCAGAACAATAGTTACATAAGTTTGAATCGAAAGAAGAGCATTGCACACAGACATTGTTATTATCAGCAACAATATAAAATGCTGAGCTGAGAGATCACTTTGTAAAGTACCCTGACCCGCCCTATGTGATTCCAGTCTTTTAGCCAAGTATTCATACTGTCTATATGTTTGACACTTGTGTAAATCTATCTAGGTCGCCTTGTAGTGCCTTGCCGTCTTCAACCATATTATTCTTCCTTAAAATTTTAGAGTCAACAAAGCAGACAGTACAGTGGTCCCTGCTGAGAGTCGCCGCTAGTACCGTCACACAGTTCTGAAATCTCTCCTCTCACAGTGACTCTTATTACTTCATAAAAACTGCCTTATCTACTGATCACCTTCCCTGTCCACCCCTGCCTGGAGCTCTTACATGCACACAAGTTTCAAGTGGCTGATAAGATTTGTTGTTCACATCAGCCAGGGTTATTTTGCTAGATAAACTCTATCGGTTAAGCCGAGGACGGTAGTGGTCCTTGTGAAACTCAGTTGGATAAACCAACAAGAGATTTTATGGTTGAATAGCTCCATGCATAACTATATTTCTTTACAAATTGCTGCAGTTATGGCTTGGTCGAACAAGCGCATTGAAAGAACGCCAAAGCAACCTTCAAGTGATTATATGTTTGTAATATATTTAACGTGTGTGTGTTTTTACTATTTCTGTCTGCAAAATCAAGCAATTAGCTCTTGGATCCCGCCTTTCTATACATCTAGTTTTCCTCTTATTATATCGCCTACATATATTTCTCTCTAACAAACGCGCACACACATACGCACATTCCAGGAAGCAGCGCACATCAGCTGTCTAACTACCAAGTACCTATTTAATGCTAGGGGAACAGGTGCATCAGGGTGAAAGAAACTCTGCCAATTTGTTTCCGCCTCGGTCGGGTGGAAACGGGCCCTTAGGACTGAGACTCCCGAACGGGATGTTGTTGTTGTTATAGATTCAGCTATTCGGAACAAGTTCCAAGTAGCACGGGCTATGATGAGCCCGTAATTTACCTGGCACAGGAGCGGGGCAAGTAGCACGGACTATGGTGAGGCCCGTAGTGGACTTACCTGGCATAGGAGCGACGCCCCCAGAACGGGAGTCGGGAGTCATTTATAAATGAGGTAAATGACGATTCCATAATTGGGTGAGGTGATACAACAGGGTGTCCTATCACCTCACCCAAAAACATTTGTGTCCTATCACCTCGCCGGAAAACGAATATAAGCACGATCTGAGTATGTAAAATTGTCTTTGAAAATGTAAGAAGTGTCTTGCGAAACGCTTCTAGGCGTCAGACCATAAATAAAGTATGAAAATGAACTTTGAAGAGTTAATTTTTCAACTACCTCCGACAGTGAAGAAAAACATAAGAAGTATTGGGAAGATTCGTGTTTGAATCGTTAAACTTACCCTTTCGGTCATATTCAAAAACATATGTTATCAAGAAAGACTTCTACCAATATATATATATATATATATATATATATATATATATATATATATATATATATATATATATATATATATATATATATATATATATATATATATATATATATATATATATATATATATATATATATATATATGTACATATATATATATATATATATATATATATATATATATATATATATATATATATATATATATTGAGTGTGTGGGTGTGTGTCCGTACTCACCTAGTTGTGCTTTCTGGGGTTGTGCACCGGTTCTTTGGTCCCGCCTCCCAACTGTCAATCTACTGATGTACAGATTCCTGAGCCTACTGGGCTCCATCATATCTACATTTGAAACTGTCTATAGATTCAGCCTCACCACATCACTTCCTAGTGCATTATATTTACTACCTACTCTGACACTAAAAACGTTCTTTCTAATGTCTCTGTGGCGCGTTTGGGTACTCAGCTTCCACCTGTGACCCCTTGTGTGAGTTTCACCCGTGTTAAATAATCCATCCATATCTACACCGTCAATTCCCCTGAGATTTTTGCATGTGGTTATCATGTCTCCCCGGGCTCTTCTGTCTTCCAAAGTCGTGAGGTGCAGTTCTCTCAGCCTTTCCTCGTAAATCATGCCTCTTAGTTCTGGGACTAGCCTTGGGGCATACATCTGAACATTTTCCAGCTTCGTTTTGTGCTTCACAGAGTATGGGTTGCATGCTGGGGCTCCATATTCCTGGATCTGTATGTGCGTGTGAGTGTGACCGTATGTGTATGTGAGCGTGTGTGTGTGAGTCTGTGTACGTGTGTGTGTGTGTGTATAAATGTGTGCGTATGTATAAATTTGTGCGTGATCATGCATACTTTTGTGTGTGTTTGCGTGCGTGCATGACTTAAAAAACGTGACGCAGCGATCCACTGTGCGTATCCCCAACTTGGCTACCTTAGAAGAGTTAGTATAAGTAACTCACAGGTATTGTGTATCTTTTACGATACTCTGTCTACCATGACGAAGATTCGTAAATATAAACATTTTTCATTTACATAGTCGTAGCTCTAAATTAAAGAGAATAAAGATTCAAGCAAAAAATAATGAAACAATGAGCAACAATTTTTTCCTGGTTGCAAAGTTGCCAGTGGGTACAATTTAAATCCATGCAATTGTTATCAACTTACACCATGTTGCACGAACAGTTTCCAGACCCACAGTTAAGTGAAATGAAAATAACTCGATTGTTCCAAGTTTTCTCCCTAAAGTAGTAAAATTGGAAGAATTTCAGCAAGATAAATAAATAATAATAGTTACTTCATATGAGAAACTCCACACACAATGTTCAGAAAACCGACACCGTCAGTTGACGGGTGAAGACGGTCTGGGACAGTTCACCTCTTGACAGTCTCCGGCTGCATACCTCCTGTCTCTTCTCCAGGATACACTACGTCAGGGAGCGATAATATTCACTTTAACTATTGTGCTTTTAATTGGACTCACTGTCATCTGCTATCGTCGATCGACACATCCAAATAGTAAGTTGTTTAACTACTGTTGTAAGCAGTAGTAGGTTGTAAGCAGACTATACACTGTCCAGTCCCAGACTGTGTTACACAGATAATTCACTGCAGAGAACACAGAGGCGTCTGTGCTTGATATCTGTCTGTGGGCAACGTTGCAATGTTGTCCCCAGTCTACCGTGGCTAGTAGTAACTTGATAGACGGTGAAAGCTGAGGGCTACGATGCAATTGTGTTGGGCAAGTTAAGTAACTAAAGTGTATTTTTGTCTCCCCGGTTTGGCGCCCTCTTCTGTTAATTACTTACTGACTTTACACATCCGAATGCACGGAAAAAGCAAAAATGCATAGTCAATAAATTATTGGTTATGTGAATAAATAAATAAATAATAGTCAATAAACAGAAAATGTCAATAATTTGCCTCTCTATTCCTCAAGGAAAGGTTGTTGGATTAAAATTTAGAACGTTTAAATAGCAAGAGTACTGCTTGTTCATTTATACACAAGGTTTCAGCATTTGTTCGGTCATTTGAGTAGATGTCATACATATATATATATATATATATATATATATATATATATATATATATATATATATATATATATATATATATATATATGCGTGTGTGTGTGTGTGTGTGTGTGTGTTTAATTCACGAAAATTAACACGTGGTGAAAAATATGGCAGTGTCAGACCACGAAGGATTGATTGAAACAGGAATTTTCTTAAGTACTTTCCTATTTAATAATACATCTTCCTCTGACATTGTCACATTGTTCATCATGTCATATTTCTTCTTGATTTACACACACACACACACACACACACACACACACACACACACACACACACACACACACACACACACACACATTTTAATGTTATTTCCTTAGTGACGAGTGCAGGAGACGCAGGAGCTGCCAGACCGCAGAACAACATAAAAGAGGCTCACGTGAAGGCGGCGCTGACGGCAGACAAGGGCAGCGAGGCCGACCTCGTCTCCTGGAGCGTTAAGGACTTTACACACAAGGGTGACAACTACGCCACCATCGTCACCAGCGTCAGTGTCAAGTTCTCTCTAGAAGGGCAGGAGCAGACTACCTCTTACGTGGTCAAACTCAACCCAATGCGGCCTACTGGTCAAGATTTTTCAGAGTTTACTCAAGCAATATTCCATAAAGAAGCAGAGTTTTTCCAAGAAATTCTTCCCCAATTGAATGTTGAGCTGACGGTTCGTGGTCTTCAAGGCTTAAGAGTAGCGAAATGGTTTTACACATCATTAGAAAAAGATAAAGAGATGATTTTCCTGGAGGACCTCCGCTCACGTGGATTTAAAATGTTTGACCGCAAGAAGGGAATGGACGTGGCCCACGCCAACCTCGTCCTGCAGGAGCTGGCCAGACTCCACGCCGCCTCCCTCCTGCTGAAGGCCACGGCACCCGAGCAAGATCTGGCAGACAGGTTCACACATATTAAAGTTGACTGGATGAATTACTCACAAAATGCAAGGAAAACAATTAATGAGATGCTCTCTCATTACTGTGTGAACGCTGAGGCATTACTACATGACATAGAAGGTTACGAGGTAGCAAAACAGTGGCTGGCAAAACACAAAAACAACAGCGCTGATCTTTTCGAACAGCAGCTGGCGAGAAGTCCCAAGTTTGATGTCATCTGTCATGGTGATTGTTGGAACAATAATGTCCTTTTTAGGTACGTTGAAATAGAGTTTCTGTTTCTTGCAATTGTTATTTGTTAAGATTTAATAAACTATTAATTTTACTAAAACACCTGACTCATTTATGTTGAATGAACCTTTTTAGCAGCATTACTTTTATGGCATTAGTCACAAGGAGTCATCTTGTTGACCCACGTTTTCATCAGAGATTTTGCTTTTTGTGTTCATGCTTCGCAAACTCTCGTAATTTTGGAAAATAATTCAAATTTATGATATTTATATTCGAATCGCAGACAAATTTTCTCTTATATCGTCAGATACAATGATGAAGACGAGCCCGTTGAAGTGATGTTAGTTGACCTCCAGCTAAACCGTGTAGCCTCCCCGGCCACCGACCTCAACTACCTCCTCTACACCAGCCTCCACGGCAACGACAGGAAGGCCAACTGGCGGGACTTCCTCTCCTCCTACTACAACACCTTCCAGGGTGTGATGGAGGCCGGGGGTAGGGACATGCCCTTCACCCTGGAGGAGCTCCATCAGGAGTACAGAGACAAGATGGAATACGGGATGTTCTTAGGTACAATGACGGTGTCGATTGTGATGTTCGAAAGCAATGATATTCCTGATATTGATAACTTAAAGGAAGAAGACATTCCGAAATTCTTTGAGGAGAATCGTCAAAAAACTCTTGATATGATGAAAGAGAATCCACTCTTTCGATCTCGGTTTCTGGCCATATATGATGAACTGGTTCAGTAGAGAGCCATCAGGTCTTAACACTGTCCAGTGAAGAAATATATGTACAATATACATATATGTACAATATACTGTGGGTACCACTTCTGATGTAATTGTAGGGACCCATAGCATCGAAGAAAATAAAGAGTATTCAGAGGAAAATTAACGTTTGACTTTAATACTTATGAGTATTCCATTCACCAATGTAAAGGTTATTGACCCATAAGTCTTATATTTTACTCACCATGCGTTTGAAACGTTTTGTAAATTTATAATAAGTGTAATACATTCTATAGTTAATTTCTATTCTTTTAGTCAACCTAAAACAAATATGACTTTTCGAGAAATCATCTTCCAATTAAACTAAGATGCAAGAGTACTAGTCAGAGAGATATAAGTCCCAAACAAGAAAATAAGCAACACAGAATATGTAATCATATTCAATGAAACAAGTCGAAATGAAAATCTGCTGCTAGTATACACCAATATATATTTATATATATAAATATATATATATATATATATATATATATATATATATATATATATATATATATATATATATATATAAAAATATATATATATATATATATATATATATATATATATATATATATATATATATTTATATATATATATATATATATATATATATATATATATATATATATATATATATATATATATATATATAAAAATATATATATATATATATATATATATATATATATATATATATATATATATATATATATATATATATATATATATATATATATATATATATATATATATATATATATATATATATATATATATATATATATATATATATATATATATACTTTTACCTTGAAGGATCGAGCTCTAGCTCTTGTATCCCGCTTTTCTTGTCACCGGTTGTACAATGCAATGACTTTTGATCTATCAAACCTGTTTTTAAAGTCTTGAATGGAGTTTGCCTCCACAACCTGCTCCTTTAGGTCATTCCATTCACCCACAACTCTTACGCTAAAAGAAAATTTCCTAACATCTCAAAAGCACATCAGAGTCTCAAGTTTTCATTCGTGCCTTCTTGTTCTATTGGTATTCATTGAAAACATTTCTTCTTATTCCACACTACCAATCCCTTAAGTATTTTAAACGTCTATATCATATCTCCCCTCTCTCTCTCTCGCTTGTACTTACTTAGTTGTACTTACCTAGGTGTGCTTGCGGGAGTTGAGCTCTGGCTCTTTGGTCCTACTTCTCAACTGTCAATCAACTAATGTACAGGTTCCTGAGCCTACTGGGCTCTATCATATCTGCACATGAAGCTGTGTATGGAGTCAGCCTCCACCACATCACTTCCTAATGCATTCTATTTGTCTACTACTGACACTGAACAAATTCTTTCTAACGTCCCTGTGGCTCATTTAGGTTCTCATTTTCCACCTGTGTCCCCTTGTTCGCGTACCACCCGTGTTAAACAGTTTGTCCTTATCTACCCTGTCAATTCCTCTGAGAATTTTGTAGGTAGTGATCATGTCTCCCCCTTACTTTTCTGTCGCGCGTGTGGGTGTGTGTGTGTGTCCCCGTGTATATTTGTACGTGTGTATGTGTGTGTGTGTAAATGTGTGCGTGAGCGTGCATACGTTTGTATGTTTGCGTGCTTGTACGAGTGTTTGAGTGCGTGCGTGCATGACTTAAAAAACGTGACGCTACGATCCACTGTGCGTATCCCCAACTTGGCTACCTTGGAAGAGTTAGTATAAGTAACTCACAGGTATTGTGTATCTTCTACGATACTCTGTCTACCATGACGAAGATTCGTAAATAGAAACATTTTCATTTACACAGTTGCAGCTTTAATCTAAAGAGAATAAAGACTCAAGCAAAAAATAACAAAACAATGAGCATCTAATATATCCTGGTTGCAGGAGTTGCCAGTGGGTACAATTTAAGTCCTTGCAATTGTTATCAATGTACACCATATTGCACGTCCTTCTGATCACAGCCAAGTGGAATGGAAGTAACCCAATTGTTCCGGGTTTTCCCCTCAATGTAAAACACTTCAGTGAGATGAATATATATAATAATATGTGGAACAGTACTCGAAGCTCCGCCCAGACCCCGAGCACAGTGTTCAGTGACTCGTCGATGCCAGTTGACGGGTGAGGACGGTTCGGGACGGTACACCTGACTGTCTCGGGCGGTATACCTGTTCCTCTCTCTCCGATACTTTCCTTTGTGTTAGGGAGCGATACAGTTGTCTTCATCCATTGGGCCATTAATGAGAGTTAGTGTCTTTCTACAACCGTCGGTCGACGCATCCAACTAGTAAGTTATTCGATATGAAGCACACTATTGTGGCCTGCAGTAATAATGACTTTACTACACACAATGTAGTGCTGAGAACACAGACACTTTTGTATTTGATTTCTGTTTGTGAACCCCATTGAAGAAAGTTCTCAGTCTGTTAGGAGAAAGTTGATAGATGAGGGATACGACGCAATATATGACAGACATATTTAGTAACTAACTACATGAATTTTACACAATGGAACTGAAATTATGACTACAAGCAATATCAAATAATTATAGTAATCTTCCTTTCTATTACATAAGGAAAGGTTGTTGGATTCAGATTCAGAACATGCATATGGGTACAGTAATACACTTCATTTCCACACACATAAAGTTTAAGGAGCCCCCGAAAGTCCGTCCCGCACACCATCACTACTTCCTTTACTCACTCACTAGCTGGTCTCCTCTCCCACACACTCTCCCCGTCACTCTTCACACACACAAATCTCTGTAATACTCTTCAATACAAAATGTTTTCATTACTGTAAACATCTTCATGCCATCTCCATGCCACACCACACACCTTCCCAATGTCCTCGACGCTCATTTTCCCGATGACAGCCTCTCCGCCTCCAGCCAGCATCACACTCCGTCTCCACCCTCTCTGCACACACTCCTGCACCCTCTGTTTCCACCCTTCCTGCAAATACAGATACACGTCCTCTCTACATCTCCAACATCCTTGCTAACACATACACACACACAAACACACACGCCCTCTCCTTCTGCACTCTCTCAGAACACACACACACACACACACACACACACACACACACACACACACACACACACACACACACACTTCAAAAATGATCTTTTTTAACACATTTTGCACATCTGCATTTGTGCAGCTATGCTAGACAATATGAAAGGGAGTGCAGAGTATCAAAAAGCTAGCTATGTGATGCTAAAATCTCCATCACACGGGATGGTTAGTCATACAAAGGCATGTGATAAGTAGTCTGCACTGACAGACTCTGGGTGCATTATAAGGATTTGATTTAATAATATTTTCACTAATACTAAACTCTACTACCCCAGGGGGGAAGGGAGGAGGGCACTTTTCAAATTCACTGACTTCGAGAAGGCGAGTGAAGGGAATGACACCGAATTGTTATGACACCCCTTATGACATCCCCTCTAATCCTGCAACATTTAATTAGACTAGCCTCAAGCGTCTGGCCTCCGGCTTTATATTATATATATATATATATATATATATATATATATATATATATATATATATATATATATATATTTATATATATATTTATGTGTGTATTTTATTGTTTTTAGTGACGAGTCCAGGAGACGCAGGAGCTGCCAGACCGCAGGACAACATAACAGAGGCTCACGTGAAGGCGGCGCTGACGGTGGACAAGGGCAGCGAGGCCGACCTCGTCTCTTGGAGCGTTAAGGACTTTACACACAAGGGTGACAACTACGCCACCATCGTCACTAGCGTCAGTGTCAAGTTCTCCTTGGCAGGGCAGGAGCGAACTACCTCTTATGTCGTCAAACTCAACCCAATGCGGCCTTTTCTAGATTTTGCAGTGTTTACTCAAGCAATATTCTATAAAGAAGCAGAATTTTTCGAAGAAATTCTTCCTCTACTGAACGCTGAGCTGACGGTCCGTGGTCTTCAAGGCTTAAGAGTAGCAAAGTGGTTTTACACGTCATTAGAAAAAGACAAAGAGATGATTTTCCTGGAGGACCTCCGCTTACGTGGGTTTAAAATGTTTGACCGCAAGAAGGGAATGGACGTGGCCCACGCCACCCTCGTCCTGCAGGAGCTGGCCAGACTCCACGCCGCCTCCCTCCTGCTGAAGGCCACAGCACCCGAGCAAGACCTGGCAGACAGGTTCAAACATATTAAAGTTGATTGGTTAAATTATTCAAAGAATGCTAGGCAGACAATCAGTGAGATGTTTTCTTCTCACTTTGCGAATGCTGAGGAATTACTGCATGATATAGAAGGCTACGAGGTAGCAGAACAGTGGATGGCCAAACATAAGAATGATTGCGCTGGTCTTTTCGAGAGCCAGCTGGTCAGAACTCCCAAGTTTGATGTCATCTGCCATGGTGATTGTTGGAACAATAATGTGCTCTTCAGGTGAGTTGACATAGAGTTGCTGTTTCTTGCAATTGTCTTTTCAGAACCTCTACTTAAGTTTTGATTAAACTGTTTTCCTTTAATGCTATACTTGATTCAACAATGAAACTTTTCATTAACGTTGCATTTATGGCACTGGTCACAAGGGGAAAGCAGACCTCGTGTTCACTAGCGTTTTTATTGCAAATTTGGCGTTTTTTGTTCATAGTTCTTACAACACTCTTTATTTTAGATATAAATTTAAAGGTATAATCTTTAAATTCCATTCGTGGACATAATTTCCCTATTTCTCCAGATACAATGATGAAGACGAGCCCGTTGAAGTGATGTTAGTTGACCTCCAACTGAACCGTGTAGCCTCCGCGGCCACCGACCTCAACTACCTCCTCTACACCAGCCTCCACGGCAACGACAGGAAGGCCAACTGGCGGGACTTCCTCTCCTCCTACTACGACACCTTCCAGGGTGTGATGGAGGCCGGGGGGAGGGACATGCCCTTCACCCTGGAGGAGCTCCATCAGGAGTACAAAAACAAGATGGAATACGGTATACTATTCTCGACAATGACAGTGTCGATTATAATTAGTGAAAGTAAAGATATTCCTGATATTGATAACTTAAAGGAAGAAGACATTCCGAAACTCCTTGAAGAGTATCGGCAGAAATCTCTTGGCATGATGAAAAACAATCCACTCTTTCGATCTCGGTTCCTCGCCTTGTATGATGAACTGATTCAGTTGGGAGCCAACAATTGTAACAATATCAAATGAAGAAATAAACGTTTTCTCAAATAGTGCTAATAAATGCAGTATTAATTTACCTTTTATCAAAGTAACATAATGCAGTTACAGGAGAAAATCCACAAATACACAAAATGTCAAAAGTGTCTTTATATCCTCAATTCCCTCACTCTCACACAAGGTAGCACAAAAACACACTAACATATCTCATTTGCTATGCACAATTTTGCGTGTTCACTAGTCTATAGAACAAATATGATCATTATTTAATTTAAAGATGCTATAAAAATTGGGCTGGTAATAAATAATAGTGTACTGTTTTTCTACCCTGGGAAATTAGAGGTGCTGCTTGATACTGCTAAGTCTGATTATATAATAGATATGGAAATATTGGTTAACCGGAAAATAAGTCATAGTAAATATAGAGTCAGTGAATGAAATATACCCTATTAGAGACTTTGATTATTAATAATCTGTAATTAAAGTTTGAATGTTGTCATACTCACAAATGTTTATATTTTTTATCCAAAATAATGCTACCAAAATATATATATATATATATATATATATATATATATATATATATATATATATATATATATATATATATATGTGTGTGTGTGTGTGTGTGTGTGTGTGTGTGTGTGTGTGTGTGTGTGTGTGTGTGTGTGTGTGTGTGTGTGTGTGTGTGTGTGTGTGTGTGTGTGTGTGTGTGTGTGTGTGTGTGTGTGTGTGTGTGTGTGTGTTTGTGTGTTTGTGTGTGTATCACGAAAATAAACACGTGATTAAAAATGTGACAATGTCAGAGAAAGAGAGATAATATAATAACTTAATTTGCCATAAAGTCAAATATACATATATATCCCAATTAACCTTGACTTCCATATAGCTGGCAACTGCATTATCATGCTGCAGCGTAAACATTCAATTTTGGCATCATGGACTGGATCCTAGGATGAAACGTCTTCTCAAATAACGTTCACTCCCAAGGCGGAATGACAGGAGGAAATTCCAGGAAGACATCGTCACCGCCCTCGCCCCGCGGGCCAAGCTCTCCCGTTAAGTACTGAGTGATGAGGATGATTTTCTCCATTTTGCTTGAGTGGCTGGTTCTTGAGTCGCAGTTACCAGCAGTTAGGTGGAGACGTTTTAGGAGGCTATGATTAGAAACTAAGATAACACTGGATTTTTTCTTGAGACGATTGGAAGGAATGAGATGAGTGATGTATTGCTTAACTATGTGTGAGGTGGGGATTGGAAGCTATAACACGAGTGAGGTATTAATTGGAAGCTCTGAGAAGTGTGAGGTGGTAATTGGAAGCTCTGAGAAGTGTGAGGTGGTAATTGGAAGCGATGACAAGAGTGAAATGTCAGATGAACAAAAAAAAATGGCATGGTGCCATTAGTTCAATCCTCTCGTTCTTATTTTTATAATAACTGTGAATCGTAAATCGAATAGATAAATAAGATAGGCCTGGCCCTGGGGACCCTGATCCCCGTAGCCAGAACAAGGTACCAACCCATTCTCAGCACATGGCGAAATATACGAAACAGGTAATGTGCCTCATTAACAACGAAACATATTTTTGTACTTCTAGGAATGTCGAGGTGATGGTCGGTGATGATTCGACCTCTTGGAAGCACATGTTGCCTCAACAATCACCGATTAACAATCATTTCCTTTACACCAGCCCCCAGAAAGAGGTCAGGAGGACTAGCGTATGAGTCACCCATGTTGGTCAACCTTCAGGAGCTCATGGAATAATCAGGAGAATGCACGTAGAACTACCAAACTGTTAACTCTTCAGGGGCTCAGGAAGGGCGGATAAAGGCGCTGAGTCAGCATGAGTAGGTAGCTCCTGGAAGGAATCTGAGGACAAACTGACACCGGGGATCTGAGGATAGAGTTTTGGATCATCTCACATGGATTATCGGTGATCGAACGTCGCTATTGTAAAAGGCGAGGCCGCCACTGTACTTTCAAGGCTAAGTGAATGGTTAAAAAGTGCTGATGGAAGAGGTAGAAACTGCTCGAATCAGGTCCAGTGTTGAGATAACGATTACTGATCTGATATGATAAAATAAGTAAAGTATTATTATCTGATTAAAATAGTCTTCTTACGTTACCTTGGATTCTATTTTAAAGAGCAAAATAAGTTTCTGCTTCTCCTCCGGATAAAAGTAGAATTTACATCGCCTTACGAAGTTATATTTATAATTGTCATAATCAGTTGTTCTCTGGATCCTGTGGAATTGCATTTAAAATTGTTTGTTCTAATTTTAGTGCCCATTTAGTTTATCACGAATCTCAGTGAGGTCAAACTGCGTAATGAACTGGAAATGTAATAACACGGAATGAAGAGAGCTCACATTTTGAAGCTGGGAGTTCTCCTTTCAAGCTCTTTTAGCATTTTGAACATATCATGTACTTCATTATTTACTCTTGCACTCGTGTTCAAGAGTATTCTACTGACAGTTTATTATACATACATTGTTGTACATATTTATCGCTTTATTTCTCTATGTAATGAACTATACTTTCTCCTCTCTCAACTATGATTTTCTTATTCAATTATTTCGTAAATCCCAATTCAGTATTACAACTACTGCAGCGTCAATTAACAAAAAGACACACATAGCTTGCTGCAATAGTGCCTAATTGATTACAAGTATATCATAACCGATAACTGCTCGTACTCCCACTGATAAGGATACTGGCAGCTGCTCAATGGTAAACACTTGAACTCCGCAAGTAAGGAGAACCGGTTCAGCCCCCAGCTGGGTTTAGATAACATAATAGATGAGTTTTGGATGATAATAATAATAATGGTTATGTTGGTGGTGATTGAGATTGCGGAGAAGATGGTTTTGATGATCGTGATGACGGTGATAACGTAATGATGGTGACAAAACACTAATCAAATATGGTAAAGATGTGCATGAGTAATCTAAGTTGAAGAAGAGAAACACAAACTCAAACATAAACACATGTACACAACAATATTCGCTTGCTGAATGAGCTTCAGCTCTTGTGTCCTGCTTTGCAGTCGCTAGTCGCTCCAGACACTCTCTTGCCTCTTATCATATCTTATCCTTAATCAATGTATGGAGTTAGCCTCAACTACCAGCCATCTCAACTCTTTCCATTCGCTCACTACTCTTTCGTTCTTCTGTTCATTCTTATGGCTTGTCTGTGTGTCTTGCTATTTCTATACAGTCTGTCTCGTTATGTTCTTGCTTATGTACGATATTACTTTCTTTCCCCTCATCTTTTGTGCACGTGATAATGATGTCTTCCAGCAACGTATGACTGAATTATTATATCTTTTCCTTCTAACCCATACTAGTTCTTGGACTAGTCTGATAGCATGTGTGTATGTGTGTGTACTTACCTAGTTGTGTTTGTGTGTGTGTACTTACCTAGTTTTGTTTGTTTGTGTACTTACCTAATTGTACTTACCTAATTGTGCTTGCGGGGGTTGAGCTCTGGCTCTTTGGTCCCGCCTCTCAACCGTCAATCAACTGGTGTACAGATTCCTGAGCCTATTGGGCTCTATCATATCTACATTTGAAACTGTGAATGGAGTCAGCCTCCACCACATCACTTCCTAATGCATTCCATTTGCTAACTACTCTGACACTGAAAAAGTTCTTTCTAACGTCTCTGTGGCTCATTTGGGTACTCAGCTTCCACCTGTGTCCCCTTGTTCGCGTCCCACCAGTGTTGAAAAGTTCGTCCTTGTTTACCCGGTCGATTCCCCTGAGGATTTTGTAGGTTGTGATCATGTCCCCCCTTACTCTTCTGTCTTCCAGTGTCGTGAGGTGCATTTCCCGCAGCCTTTCCTCATAACTCATGCCTCTTAGTTCTGGGACTAGTCTAGTAGCATACCTTTGGACTTTTTCCAGCTTCGTCTTGTGCTTGACAAGGTACGGGCTCCATGCTGGGGCCGCATACTCCAGGATTGGTCTTACATATGTGGTGTACAAGATTCTGAATGATTCCTTACACAGGTTCCTGAACGCCGTTCTGATGTTAGCCAGCCTCGCATATGCCGCAGACGTTATTCTCTTTATGTGGGCTTCAGGAGACAGGTTTGGTGTGATATCAACTCCTAGATCTTTCTCTCTGTCTGTTTCATTAAGTACTTCATCTCCTATTCTGTATCCTGTGCCTGGCCTCCTGTTTCCACTGCCTAGTTTCATTACTTTGCATTTACTCGGGTTGAACTTCAACAGCCATTTGTTGGACCATTCACTCAGTCTATCCAGGTCATCTTGTAGCCTCCTACTATCATCCTCTGTTTCAATCCTCCTCATAATTTTTGCATCGTCGGTCATAATTTTTGCATCGTCGGGTGTGTGTGTGTGTGTGTGTGTACTTACCTAGTTGTGTTTGTGTGTGTGTGTGTGTGTGTGTGTGTGTGTGTGTGTGTGTGTGTGTGTGTGTGTGTGTGTGTGTGTGTGTGTGTGTGTGTGTTTATGTGTTGAGGGGAGGGAGAGCCGTGATCTGGTGATAAACAGGTTCCCGAGCAATCATATCCAGACACACAAAACCACTTGAGTGTCAGGCTCAGCTCGACACATGCAGAGTTAGCTGCACTACAACTTGCCACTAATGCACTGAAGAACCGTGGAGGAGTAATTTTATGTGATTTAAAGTCAGCTCTTCTGGTCCTTAAAAACCCAACATGCTAAATATATACTTGGAATGTTGTAATATCCATTATAAACAACATTATTAATGCAAAATCCCCTTTGTATGGATAAGATCTCACATAGGTATTGTCCAGCATGATGACACAGACAAGGCAGCTTAAACTGCATGTGATAAGCCTCAAATTATAAGCCTCTGCTGAAAAAGCCGATCTATTTCTGGAAATTAGGGAAGACAGAAGAGCAGTTACTGATACCCAGAAGCCAGAAAGCACGAGTTTATAGAGTTATGACACGCTTAGAACCGAAAATTATATGTACCGGCAGCATAAAACATCCACTAGATAGTGTGACATTGTAATTGCCAGAATTAGGCTGATATATCGATATCTATAGCAGGTGCATAA